TTTTGTAATTTATACTTTTTGTTATATTGACTAAAAGCAATCAATAAAAATCAATAATAACGTTTCATAGTATATCAACAATGCTCTATAATTAAAATCGGAGAAGTCACTCTTAAGGTAAATATCAAAAATATTTCAAATGCCTTTAAATATCTTAAAATATTAGTCTAAATATTTTGAAATGTCATTGTGTATAGAAAATAATAATTTTAGTAATATTGAAATGCTTCTAGTTCTACGATTAATATTTTTTGGATGTTAAAAAATAGTTTTTAAACAATTAATTGTTAATTGTTATTATATCTTTAATATTTAAGTACCCAACGCCATCAACATTTGAATAAAAAATGCTCATAAAAATGTATGCAATATTTTTTTTTAAATTCCTGTAAAAAAAATTAATAATTTTTCTAGTTTTTTTACCTACTGACAAACAAACATTTTATCATAAGTATAAAAGTGAAAAAAAAAATTAAAATCATCGAAAATGTTAAATATCTAAGCCAACATTTTTTAATGTCTAGAAAATCCAAACATAAATATTTAGTGAAAATGTTATGGGATTGAGGCCATCGAGGTATTAATTTTTGAATTACAAGGAAAAACAAAACAGACACTGTCCAAAAATTGTTTTAGATTCTGAGTGAAACGATGAATGTATTGATTTTAGAATGATGTGTGTTTTTTTATTTATTTTAGATTCTGAGTGAAACGATGAATGTATTGATTTTACAATGATGTGTGTTTTTTTATTTTTTTTGTGTCTGTGTACACGATAAGTAGTCGAAATAATGCTTCGATTTTCGACTTCAGTATCTTGTTCGATTGGAAAGTGAATATCGTTGGTGCATTGAGGAGGTCAAAATTTAAATTTACCAGTAGTTTTCAAAAGCGCCGAGAAAAACTAAGGAAAAACGAGAATTTTTACGCAAAATCTGTTTTCGAGAAAATTGATTTTGGTTTTTGGTGTAACTTTAAAACAAATGACCGTAGATACATGAAATTTTCAGTGGTTGTTTAAATTTGCATTTTATATACACGATAACATTTTCAAAATATTTTGATTTATTTTGAACTGTTTAGGAACATTTTCAGTTTCCAATTTTATTAGTTTTTTTTTTTTATGAATATCAATAAAAATTTATTTGTTGTGTAAAAGTACTTGAAAATTTAATACAAGGCTCCTACTATATTGTTTCAAAGACGGATGAAAAATATTAAAAACCGTTAGTCACAGTTTTTTTTTTAAGCATTTAAAGTTCAAAAAATGACAAAATATGTAAAATCACGAAAATTTGCAAATTATTTTGAGTTAAGAATTCGTAAAAATTTTTCTTATTAAATCTAAGATTTTAAAATGTGATACAAGATTCCTTATAAAACTATCTACCTTTATCAAGAAATAAATGTCTATAAGAAAGTCAAATTATATTTTTATTAAATTAAATTTTTACAATATTGGATATTCACTCGATTTCTCATGTAGCAATTTCCTTATTTTGTTGTAATTCAAAAACGAATTACTTTAGATACATGAAAATTTCACTGAATGTTTATATTAGCATTTCCTATACACCATACAATTTTGACTCTTTTTCAGCTGTTTACGGACATTATCAGTTTCCAATTATTTTAGTTTATTTTTCTATAAATATCAATAAAGTTTTATCGGTTGGGCCAAAAAGTGTAAAAATTTAATACAAGGCTCCTGATATATCGTTACAATATCAGTTGAAAAATATTAAAAATACATTATCACAATTTTTTTTTATAAGCATTTAAAGATCGAATTTTGACAAAATTTATCAAATTTAAAATTGAATAATTATTTTGTAGTTACAAATTTGTAAAATGTTCAACTTTTATACCTAAGGATTGAAAATTTAAAACAAGATTCCACTTAAGTAATTAATTATGTTACCAAAAAATCTAAAAAATACATCAGCACAGTTTATTTTTATAGTCATTTTAAGTTCAACTTTGGACAAAATTACATAAAAAAACCTAGAATAACTATTTTAGTTATTTTGTTGTGATTGTGTAATATTATTCGTGGGTACTTGAAACTTCTAAAGTACACTATATATCTATGGAGCATGGATTATGATAGTATCAGGGTTTGTTGTTGACGTTTAATGCATTATAAGTACCTAATGGATATTGTGATATGATTAATTTGTAATTTATTATAGGTACCTATTCAGTGCCGCAACTTGGTACATATTGGTGGGTGTGCGACCAACTAAAAGGGCCCATGTACAGAGGCACAACAATATGGGGAGGGGGGGCAAAGAGCCCCCCCCCCCCCGAATACGATTCAGACCCCTCCAAAAAATATTTCTTATTTATTTAGATATAAGCCACTTATAGGTTATTTTAAATTAATAGTTTTGTTAGGTGGGCCCCCCAGAAATTTAATCCTAGTTGAGACCATCTTCATGCACCAATAGGTCATTACATATTGCTTGTTGTTTTTAGCTATATACATTATGTTATGTGGTTAATATAATATTCACTGCTTTATACTGCTTACAGATAGGTAGAGCTTTGAACACATATAGGTGAGGACTGAGGAGCAGTGATAGCGGCACTTAAAAACATTTATTTTCTTTCTTTTCCCAATTTAAATGCAATAAACATTTAAATTGGGAATCAGCCGTCACAACATAGCACAATTAAGAAATTCGAGAATATTAAATTATTATTTTCATTATTTTGTTATAACTTTGGTTAGGACTTTGTTTTATTATCATAATAAATAATAATTTTTATTATTCTAATGTATTCATTACTCATTAGTTTCTATTTTTTGATAAAATAATAAGATAGAAAGAACCACTTTGTGAAACACCTTAGTAATAAAATATATTAAACATTATCTTCATGAAAACACATAATATATAATTTATAAAATTATAAATAATAAAAAAATAACAATAAAATTGATTTCATTAAATATGGGTAATTTTTAATACTATGTTTACTTTAAAAAGTTTTTTTTTCTTGCTTTTTGATTTGCAAAAGTATCAATTATGTAATCAATATTCAATTCATCTGTTCATGTTTTTTCAATGTTTAAAATGCTTATATTTGTTAGCCGTTCCTGTGAAATTGAATTTCGTAAATAATTTTTAATCAACTTAAGTTTCGAAAAAGATCGTTCTGCCGATGCAACAGTTACAGGTAAAGACAAAAAAATTATGCAGGCAGTAAGTATTTCACTAAAAAGTGATGAAATATCATTTTCTATAATATATAAAGACAATTCTTTTATTGTTTTCATTTCAGTTTTTCCTAGAAAATCTCTTAATGATAAAACTTGCCTGGTCAAATCAGACGAAACATCAGTACTATAAAATGAAATGAAGTAATTTCCTATAAATCTATAAATAGGAAAAATATGTTTTTTACAGTCGTTGCCAGATATATTGAGCAGGCGGCGGCGGTACTTTTCGGTGTATCCCAAACTAGTCGCGGTGTGTTTTGACCGCACGGCGCACCACAATTGCGTACCCCTGGGCCCTTCGTTATCGCGCCGCCGCCGCCGATGCCTGCTCAATTTATCCGGCAACGACTGTAACCATTATTTTTCTGTGCATGTATAAATTGTTCTTGGAAATGTCACTACTTATATAATACACCTAAATAAGACGTCTTGTATGGCGTGTCTTGGCGATGCGGGTTGCGATAACTGTTAAACATACTCGTAAGTTAATAATATTTTATAACTTTCTATTTTTAAATAACAAATAAATATTTTAAAAGAAAAAAAGTTCCAAATAGTTCGGCCACGGGCCCGGGGCCCATTGTTATGATTTACAGGGGGCCCGGGGGTTCTTTGCACCCCTAGCACCCCCGGTTGTTGCGGCACTGTACCTATTTTAGGTAAATTTTTTTTAATACGATAGATAAGTATAATATAATATATCTTATACCTAGACTGTCATACCGTCTCCGCTCAGAATCGTTTTTCTTATACAATGATATTATATCATTGAATTGAAATTTAATACTATTTATTATACAGTGACCCACTTGTAACCTACTGTACAGCAGATCACCTTTTTAGTCTTGATTATTTAAATAGTTAATAGTGCCTTTTCTTACATGTATTATGAAACAAATATGGATAAAGTTCAATTTTAGATTTTAACTTGGCCTATGGAAATTACATAGGAGGTTATTAGATATCTGTAGTGCCAAAAAAAAACAATATACCTAAGCTAAATATTACGAACTAATAATATTACAATAAACGGTCAGGCTATTTTATTAATTGTCCATTTATCATGATACATAGGTATATCTTGTTACGTGCCATTAATAAGCCGTGAACGTATAAGTACCTACAAAATATGTTGTTATTTATTTTTTTTTTTTGTGGGACTGTTCATATTATTATTTATTATGGATTCTAAAATAAAGAGTTTGTCCCCGGCCCAACAGAGTGCAAGCACTGAAAGCGCATGGCTCCACCCCCGTGAGCATGCCTATGAGCTGCACATTTATGCACAAACGCAAATTAAAGCTGTGAATTCCAGTAGAAGGGATGATAAAATGTATCTGATTTGAATTGAGAAACATATCGAAATTTATGTTTCAAAATCAAAAATGTGATAATTGGGGATAAACGCATGTAATATTCGGGTGGTGAGGTTTGAAAAAAATGTATAATCTTAGTATTGTTATACCTATATTAAATGATAGGTAGGTACATCATTGGTATTATTGATATTTCGTGGGGAGGTTAACCCTTCGTGGTCGCGGCGAAACGGTCTGCGGCGTTTCCCAAACTTTTTCTCTGCCGGACCCCTTAGAGAAAATAAAAAAGATCGCGGACCCCTAAATAAAAATTTAAATTAAAGCAATAATAAATAATAATACTAAATTGTTTGCTTTATTTTTAAAATTAAATACACATATGTTTATAATGAAAAATTGAATTAATAAAAAAAATGGATAAATAGATATATTATTTTTATAATAAATAATTAATGCGTTTAATGTGATGGATGGTGTTGTTTCTTTAATACTAAATCTGGTATTTTAGGATCTATATTAGAAAGTTGAATACGTAAATCTGATTCTATATTTAATCGATTTCTATATTTATTTTTAGTGTACACATAAGCTGAAAATCCTTTTTCACAGAGATAAGTTGTTGAAAAAAGCATCAATGGCCTTAGTGCTGAGTCCGATATTTCTGGATAGTCTTGTCTTATACTCAACCAAAAAGAAGACAAAGAAGATTCTTTGAAAACCCTTTTTAAATTAGAATTACTGGATATTTCGATTAATTGATTTTCTTGTGTTGTTGTTAAACCAGTTATATCAGGGACATCTGCATTAAAAGGGTCTACTACCCAATTTTTATTTTTGTCAGGAACTGGAAAATATTTTCGAAATGAATGTTTCAAAATTTGGAGGTGTTCAATAATTATATCTTTTGTGTCCTGAGGAAAAACTTCATCGGATGATTCTATAAATGCATAAAGAGTTGGAAAGTGGTTAAAATTGTTTTGAAGGGCACGTTTTCTCCATAACTCAAGTTTTTTTAACATAGCTTCAATGTTATCCTCCGTGTGAAAAATATTGTCTTCTTTCCCTTGTAAACTAATATTTAATGAGTTCAGAGAATTAAAAATATCAGCCAAATAGGCCACTGTACAGAGCCATTCAAAATTATTGAAAAGATTTGCATATTTAGTAACTTCCATAGAGTTATTAAAAAAAAACATTCTAATTTCATTTTTTAACTCAAAAACACGTGACACAACTTTACCTCGCGATAACCAGCGTACTTCAGCGTGCAATAGCAACTGCTTGTGTATACTTCCCATATCTTCACAAATTAAATTAAAAATGCGAGAATTCAAAGATCTAGCTTTTATTAAGTTAACTACTTTCACAATATCACGCAAAACTTCATTTAATTTTTCTGGCATATTTTTTGCAGCTAAAGCTTCTCTATGAATACAGCAATGATGCCAAATAATAGACGAATTAATTGTTTTTAAACGAGCTTGCAGGCCTGATCTAGTACCAGACATCGCACGAGCTCCATCTGTGCTAACCGCCACACAATTATTCCATTTTATATCATGACTTATTATAAAACTATTTAATATATTAAATATTGCCTCACCTGTAGTATTGGAAGGTAGAGATATGCAAAATAAAAAATCTTCAGTAATAGTATTATGATTTTCATAACGGACATATGCAAGTAAATTTGCGTCATTGCAAATATCTGTGCTTTCATCTAATTGTAAAGAATAAAATTTACTTGTTTTGATATTTGAAATAAGCTGTTCTTTAATGTTTTCTGACATTTCAACAATTCTGTTCTTAACTGTATTATTTGATAAAGAAACCGTACTTAATTCATTTGATGCTTTATCTCCTAACATAGCAGAAACCATAATTTTTGCAGCTGGTAGGATCAATTCTTCAACGATAGTATGTGGTTTGCCACTTTTTGCAACAAGTAAAGATACTTGATAAGATGCTGTTACAGCTCTTTCATTATTAGTTCCAATTGCAGTCTTTTTAATTAATTTTTTACTTTGTTCTAATTCAGCTGCTTTCGATTCAAAAAATTGTTTAGATTTTGTAAGATAACGACGATACGGCTGCAACGAACAAACTATCGGTTATTTGACCGACGCGATCAATCCGTCTCTGACGCGAACAATCTGCAGTCTTCTATATCTATACGTATAATCTAATCTTAATTGCTTTTCAACGATAACTATTTCAACAATGTATTTATTATCAACAGTATTTCCCATGTAATACGAATATTGCATCATTATTTTCGTTTTATGGATAGGTATACTTTGTAAATTTTTAATTTACGTTCGCGGACCCCCTCCGGTATACGTGCGGACCCCTAGGGGTCCGCGGACCACAGTTTGGGAAACGCTGTCCTAGACCCAGGGCGGATCCAGACGGGGGTGGAGAGGGCGATCGCCTCCCCCCCCCCGTTCACCAACAAATAGATACTTTAGTTTTGTACATAATTACTTAAAGGGTAAATAGGGAATCTTACACTACCATACTTATGCCGGTATTGTGTTATCACTTATATTTATTAATACCAATTGAGGCACAGAATAACACGATTGAGGTGATATACCACTATATCATGATGTTAAATATTCTTAACCATGTTTTATGTTTATAACGGGACTGGTCGGTGTTTCCAAAGTGACAATTTTTTTTTAAATAGCATTTAAAGTTCAAATATTGACAAAATACGTAAAAATGACGAAAATTTGCAAATTATTTAAAGTTAGAAATTCATAAAAAATTTAATTTTTAAATCTATGCTTTGAAAATGTAATGCAAGATTCATCATAAATCTGTATACCTTTATCAAAAAAATGTCTACAATAAAGTCAAATTAAATTTTTATGAGAGTTTGAAATTCATATTTTTACAACATTTGATATTCACTGGATTTCTCATGTAACAATTTTTTTATTTTATTATAATTAAAAAACGAATGACTGTAGATACTTGAAAATTTCACCGAATGTTTATATTTTCATTTTCTATACCCCATACAATTTTGAAAATAATTTGACTCTTTTTGAGCTGTTTACTGACATTGTCAGTTTTCAATTGTTTGGTTTTATTTTCTATAAATATCAATAAAATTATTATTGCTGGGTAAAAAAGTGTGAAAATTTAATGCAAGGCTCCTGATATGTTGTTATAAAGTTGAAGTAGAAAGCATTAAGTATTTAGTAATATCATAGGCTGACTGACCATTCTCGCTCAGAATCGTTTTTCTTATACAATGATATTATATCAGTGAATTCAAATTTAAGACCATCCATTAC